AGGAAAGAACCCAAATTCCATGAACCCAACAAACGAATGCAAGACAGGCTGACACCGCCTTCCCGTAAAAAGAGAAAGAAAGAAAGAACAAACGAAAAAGAAAAAGAAAACTTCACATACCGCTTCAACCTGCGCCTCCGTCAACTGAACCCCCTCTTCCCCATCCGCCTCCACACTCGCAGCCGTCAATTCCTCCTTCTCATGCCCAAACTCGCGAGTCACCCCTCCAAACCCCTCCTCCGACAAGTCGGCAACCTAAGCCTCCATCCTCGGGGAAGTGTTGAACAGAAACCAGCCCCCCTTCTCGGCGTGCTCAACGACAACCCAGACCACCTCGCCGTACAGAAGCACGGGAATCTCCAGGTCGCGGGTGACGGGGCTGTTGTCGCGCGTGTCGACGACGGTTCGGCGGCAGTCTCGGCGGGGCACCCCAGAATGGTGGTACATGAGGGAGTTGTGGGCCTCGAGGTTCTCGTCGGTGATGGGGTAGATGGTGGTTGGGTCGGGGGAGAATGTGGAGGGGATGGGCTCGGGGCGGGGGACGGGGGGTTGGTAGGGGCGCTCGAGGAAGCCCGTGCGGGGCATGGTGGTGGTTTGGCCGGGTGTGGTGTGCTGGAGAGGGTGGAGGGCGAGGAAGCCTGCCGGGGGAGTGGGGGGGGAGGTGTAGCCGGGGAAGGTGCTGATGCAGCCTATGGGGGTGAACGGGTCGGAGGGGTGGTTGTCCTGGGCTGGCGGAGTGCGGGGGCTGTCGATGCTGGCATGCGGCCTGGTTTCAGGCGAGCGCGGCGACAAAGAAACGGTGCTGCCGGCCGCATTTGGGGGTGTCGGCGGTGAAGAAATCGACGGCGGTGAGCGCGGGCGAGTGCTGTCAACCGAAGCGCGCGGCGACGCGTCGTAAATGTCACTCGCTGGTGACTCGGAACGGTGCGGCTGCTGTGCCGAAGACGAGAAATCTTGATCATCGGCTCCGGTAAGTCTTTCGTCCCCATCCTCGTCAGCTATCGCCGTCATCGACAAAGAAGACAAGCGGCCTTCCAGCTCGTGCTCCCCACCCTCCCTTCCCTCTTCTTCACCATCCTGACCAAGTTCAACAGGGCCCGGCCTGAACCAGTGGTCGATCCCCAACCGAACGTCAACACGGGCATGAAAGCATCTCATGGGCCGAAACACCCCATCCCCGGTCTCGATATACCTCTCTCCCCTTAGGCGCGCGTGCTGCGCCGCGGTGTAGTTCTCTTTGTGCCAGATGATGCCGAGATCTGGGACACAGAACGAGCGCGGCATCCTGCCCCTGGGCGGAAGGTCGTATCGCCCTCCGTCCGAATCGAGACCTGTATGATGGCCCAGGGGGCGCATCTCCTCAGCGCGGGGTACGGTCTGCGGGTGGCGCGCCATGCCCATTATATCGCTGGCGACGTTGCTGAAGTCCTGTCGCAGGGGTGTTGTCTCTGGAGAGGACTCAACAGCCTCGCGACGAGGCGCGTCTGGGGTGGTTATACCCGCAGTGATCTGCTCAGCAGGCGTGATCGGACCCTCAGAAGGCGTGGTAGGGCCCTCGCCGACGCCCGGAAGAGAAGTGTTTAACACCTCTTCGGACATGGTTGACAGCCGTGGTGGTTCTGTTGATGTGTTGGTTCTGTCATGGAGAGGCGCGAATCTTTGCTCGAAGAGGCGTTAATCTGAGGATCGCAGACCTTCGAGGGGGCGTCCGACGCGCTAGAGGTGGGTGGCAACAGGATAGCCGTGACGGCAGCGCTTGGAACGGGTGATTCCGAAGGAAAGAGGAGGTTGAGAGGGAAAGAAAGGATCCAGGGATGGCAACGACTGCGGGGTACTGGAAGATGGAAGACTTCAGATTGGGTTGAAGAGATGGGAAGCTGGCTGGGCCTGGAGGAAATAAGGCCTTGGTTATGAGGCGACAGTGGGCAGAGCTTGCAGCCTGGCTTGAATTTTCAGTCTGATTGAACGCGAAAAGCACGCGAAGGGGACGCGTCATAGCCATGATAGGTTGGTCAGAGTTTAGGAGACGTGTTTGACATGGCAAGGCGTTGCTGAAAAGGGGAAGCTGTGGGAAGAACCTGGGCAACCCCAGCCATTTGGGTAACTGTAAAGTTGTTTTACAAACGACAATCGAAGAGTAGGTTCGCTGACCAGAGGCATGTACAGACATAGGAGAAGGAGGTTTGGGGAATGGAAGGTCAGGGCAAAGAAGAGGTGCCCCAATATCATCCCATCCCATTTGCTCCCCTTCCCTATATAACCCCTACTACCAGACCCTCCTGTCACCAGCGCCGAGTCCCAACCCTCCAAGACTACCACTTTCATGGCGTGGCCTAGTGGTAATAGAGATGGGGCCGATGCTCCGGCGACCAAAGCCCTCCCCCTCCGAGGCCATGGGTTCGACTCCCACCCAAAGTAAAAGCCTAGGGCTTTTCGTACCCCCCGGCTCACGAGCCGGGGGGGAGCTTTTGCTGTTTTTTTTTTGTATTTTTTCCTTCCTCTCCAAGAGGACCGCGGAAATCTCCGAAGCCGTGAATGAGGGGAGCACTGGAAATATTTTATCCAGCAACAGTTATCCTCTGGGGCAATTTGGCTTGTTTGACAATCGACTGTATCCCATTCGGCTCGCAATGCTTCAAGTTGTCATTCAGGGGCAAGTCAACACGCCGTGTCTTGGCCTGACTGCAACAGCAAAATCACACCCAGCCCACCTCCGCAGAAATGGAGAATTCTTTTCACAAGAATACGTCAGTCAATCGACCCTTTTCATCATTCCTCAAAAATTGAAAATGATGGTGGGACATCTCATCGTCGCCGTTGCCGGGGCGACATTGATGAGCCCGAAAATGCAATTAAGCGGGCTCCCCTCACCCAAGTCAAACCCTAACCCAGGAGCTGGAATGACTCAATGGCGACATGGACCGCGACAGCGACATCGGAAATCCGCGACATGATCCAATGTCCTCATTCAATCCGTCCGTGATTGGTCTGCGCCAGTGGGAATAAGAAATATCCTCTCTGATCTCCACTTGTTCCGATGACCTCGCTGTTGCTGTCGTCTCGAGTGTCTTGTGCTGTGTTTCGAGGGGTGCCATCATTTCCATTTCCAGGCCCAACTTCATCTCGGTCTCCGATTGTTCGCCGATCGCTTCACTCCTCAGCCAGTGTCACCATGAGCGAGAAACTCAAGCCGGCCGCCCGCGTCGCGGGGAATCGACAGGATGTCTGGTAATGCTCTTCCGGGCTTTGCCCATTGATTGAAATGAAGGAAAAAAGAAAAAGAAAAAGAAAAATCTGACACACGCCGCAGGTCCATCGTCAACGAGGCCGCCGCCGCCTCGCCCAAACAGCCCATCGTCAACATGGGCCAGGGCTTCTTTGGCTACAACCCGCCCGATTTCATCCTCAATGCCGCCAAAGAGGCCCTCGACCGTGTCGAGTGCAACCAGTACTCGCCCACCCGGGGCCGGCCCCGCCTCAGGCAGGCCCTGTCCGACGCCTATGCCCCGTCGTGGGGACGCAAACTGAATCCCGACACCGAGATCACCATCACCACGGGCGCCAACGAGGGTGTGTATCCCCTTTGGTTCGGGGATGACCGTACTGACTTGTTGTTCAGGCATGCTCAGCGCCTTCATGGCCTTCATCGAGCCGGGCGACGAGGTCATCGTCTTTGAGCCCTTCTTCGACCAGTACATCAGCAACATCGAGATGCCCGGCGGCAAGATCGTCTACGTGCCCATGCACCCGCCCAAGGAGGGCGGCACCAAGACCCTGTCGGCAGGCGAGTGGAAGATTGACTTTGACGAGCTCGAGCGCGCCGTCACCCCCCGGACCAAGATGCTGGTCATCAACACGCCCCGTGAGCCCCCCCCTCTCCCCCCTTTTTTGTGCCAACACTGACCCCCCCACCAGACAACCCCGTCGGCAAGGTCTACTCCCGCGAGGAGCTGCAAAAGATTGCCGACATCTGCGTCAAGAACCAAATCATCATCCTCTCCGACGAAGTCTACGACCGCCTGTACTACGTCCCCTTCACCCGCATCGCCACCCTGTCCCCCGAGGTCGAAAAGATCACCCTCACCGTCGGCTCCGCCGGCAAGAACTTTTACGCCACCGGCTGGCGCGTCGGTACGTCCCCCCTCCTCCCTCCCTCCCATCCACCCTCCCTAACCTCCCTCCAGGCTGGCTCATGGGCCCCGCCAACCTAATCGAATACGTCGCCGCCGCGCACACCCGCATCTGCTACTCCTCCGTGTCCCCCTTACAAGAAGCTTGCGCCATCGGTACGCCCCCTTTCCCCTTTCCTTTTTAACCGCCCACCAACTAATACTCCCCCCAGGCTTCGAACAAGCAGACGCCCACTCCTTCTGGACCACCTCCATCACCTCGATGCTCTCCAAAATCACCCTCTTCACCTCGGTCTTCACCGAGCTCGGCATCCCCTTCTCCCAGCCCGAGGGCGGCTACTTCGTCATGGCCAACTTTTCCAAAGTCCGTCTCCCCGCCGACTACCCCTTCCCGCCGCACGTGGCGTCGCGCCCGCGCGACTTCCGCCTGGCGTGGTTCCTGATCCAGGAGCTGGGCGTGGCGGCGATCCCGCCGAGCGAGTTCTACACGGACGCGAACGCGCACATTGTCGAGGATTACCTGCGGTTTGCGGTGTGCAAGCCGGATGGGGTGCTGGAGGAGGCGATGGGGAGGTTGAGGGGGTTGAAGAAGTATATTGTTGAGGAGTGAAGGAGGTTGAGGATGCGGTGGATTTTTGAGCATTTATAAGCTGTGGTTTCTGAATGGTCTGAATGATGTAGACAATCGAGATGAGATGTGGTGGGCAGTGCCAGACGTGCAGCGCGGGGATTTATCACCCTACAATGGGTAAAGCAACTAAACATTCTGGAAATATCCAAATCAAAAAAGAAGCAACTCTCAAGTTATTTTCTCTGTATTGAGAGGCAGCAAAAATGAAAGCTGCCAATGTCAATTCATTGGCTGGGTTGTGGGCGACCCAGGAATCGAACCTGGGTTTCTTCGGAAGTTGATTTCTCGGAAGAAAATCCACAACGAAGTGTACTGACCACTATACTAGTCACCCTTGTTCAAGCTTATTTGATGGAAGAATTGGGCGGAACTGCCCCTCAAGTACCCATCGAGTCACGGGAAGCGAGCTATCAACTCCACCTCCCACACCACACGTCGGCAGCTCAACGTGACACCATTCAAATTCTTTGCAAATTCCTCTGTTCAAGACGATAAATTTCGACATCTGCGGTAGACGCATTCAAACTGTTGCCTGCTAAAAACGAACTAAACATATCCGGGGCATTGCGAAAAAATCCAAGCTGCCCAAATCGAAGGCATCGCCAAATCGAAAACCATCATCCCCCCTCAAATCGAAATAAAAAAGCTCTCCTCCCCCTCCTTCGCCTCCACCCTCGCCCTCTGCATAATCGGATCCACGCACGCCAACCTGATCCTCTCCGGCGTCGCCGGACTCTGCAGCCTCAACAACCCATCCCCCTCCCCCCCCTCGGCCCCCACCGTCGCCTCGACGCCATACTGCCTCCTCGCCGCCACCAGCGCATCCCGAATCGCAAAGAACACGGCGCTCCCCATAAACAGCGGCGGCTCGCCCACGCCCCTGCTCCTCTGCACCGTCCTCAGGTCCTTCCACTCGACGCCCTTGAGCAAGCTGACATTGAACACCTCGGGGATGTCGCGGAACCCCGGGATCTTGTACGCCCCGGGGCCGCGCGTAAACAGGTTCCCCTTCATCGGCCCGCCGCGCAGCCACAGCGACTCCTCCATCGTGAACAGCCCCAGCCCCTGGACAAAGGCGCCCTGGATCTGGCCGTAGTCGATGGCCGGGTTGATGCTCTGCCCGACGTCCATCTTGAGGTCGGCGCGCCGGCACGTCCACGTGCCCGTGAGCGTGTCGACCTCGGCCTCGGCCGCCGCGACGCCCTGCGTAAAGTAGAAAAACATCTTGCCCGTGTTGGCGCCCCACGTGTAGCCGATCTCGGGCGTCTTGTAGAACCCCTGCGCCGACAGGTTGACGCGGTCAAAGTAGGCGGCGTGCGCGAGGTCCTTGAGCGAGGCGCCGGCGCCGAGCTTCTCGCGGTAGGGCGCGAGCCGCTCGTTGAGCGCGACGCAGGCGTTTTGGATGGCGTAGCCGTTGAGGTCCGACGAGGCCGAGGCGGCCGTGGCCGAGGCGTTGGCCACCGTGTTGGTCGCGGTTTCGGCAATGTGCACGTCCTCGAGCGGGATCGAGAGGGCTTGCGCCGCGATCATGGCCATCTTGGTGTGCAGGCCCTGGCCCATCTCGGTGCCGCCGTGCGCGACGAGGACGGAGCCGTCGTGGTAGATGTGCACGAGCGCGCCGGCTTGGTTGAACCAGAGGGCCGTGAACGAGATGCCGAACTTGGTGGGGATCAGGGCGAGGCCGCGCTTGCGCCACTTGTGCGTGGCGTTGAACTTGGTGATGGCCTCGCGGCGGGCGGCGTAGTCGGATTCTTGCTGGACCTGCTGGTACATGAGGGGGACGTGCCAGTCGGTGAGGGCTTGGTTGAAGTGCGTGAGCTCTTCGGGCTTGTAGAGGTTGATCTCGCGGAACTTTTCGACGGGCATGCCGAGCCGGTCGGCGACTTCGGTCATGTAGCTTTCGGCGATGAACATGCCCTGCGGCCCGCCGAAGCCGCGGAAGGCCGTGTTGGACATGGTGTTGGTCTTGCAGATGCGGCCCTTGACGTGGATGTTGGGGATGCGGTAGCAGCCGTCCGAGTGCGTCATGGCGCGCTCGCAGACGGCAGCGCTCAAGTCCCAGCTCCAGCCGCCGTTGTTGAAGACGTCGAGGTCGAGGGCCTGGATCTTGCCGTCCTTGTTGACGCCCATCTTCCACCGGCCGAGAAAGGGGTGGCGCTGGCCAGAGGTGACCATGTCCTCCTCGCGCGTGAGCATGCATCGGACCGGCCGTCGCATCTTCTTGGCGGCGACGGCGATGATGCTGCTGAGCTGGACGGAGCGGGACTCCTTACCACCGAAGCCTCCACCGAGTCTCTTTACGCGGACGACAACCTTGTTTGCCGGAATGCCGAGAACCTGCGCCGCATAGGCTTGTCTGGAAATCGTCAGTACTATATCGGCAGATGAGAAGAAAAGATTGCTTACGCTTCGTTGGGGTTCTGGGTGCTGGAAAAGATCTCCATGGCACCGTCTTCTGGGTGAGGGATCGCGAGGGAAACGTTGGTTTCGAGGTAGAAATGCTCCTGACCTCCCATCCGGGCGACGCCGGTAAAGGTGTAGTCCGAGTTCTTGAATCCCTCCTCGAGATCTCCGTTCTTGATTTCCTTGAAGAAGTTGAAGAAGCTCTCCTTCTCGATTGCCTCCTCGATGGTGAAAACGGCGGGCAGTTCCTCGTATTCGATCTTAACTGCCCTTGCACCCTCTGCCGCACGATTCGCCGACGTGGCGAGAACCATGCCTATCGGCTGACCCGTCGTGTAGACCTCATCCTCGGCAAAGAACACCTCGTCAAAGTGCGGAGCACCCCAGTGGTTAGCCTTGGAACTCGGCATGTCGTTCTTGTCGACATAGTCCACTACGCCGGGGATGTCGAGGGCAGGCGAGAAGTCGACCGACTTGAGCTTGGCATGGGCCTTGGTCGACAGCACCAAGCATCCGTAGAGCTCGTTCTTGGCTGGTGGGATGTCGTCGATGTACTGGGCCTCTCCCGTCACCTGCTTGAGGGCCGCCACGTGTGGGTTGGCCTTGCCGAGCGTCTCCTGCACATACGCAGCGGTCGCCTCCCTATCCTCCTTGCCTGTAGAAATTCCTCGGTCGAGCTCGTCTGTGGCCTCGGTGTCGGCCTCTTCTCCTCCAAGAGCTTGCATGACTTCGTGGTAGAAGCGGTAGAAGAAGCTCAGGGCCAGGGACTTTCGGTACGACGCCATGCCGCCGGGAACACCAAAGGAAAGGTTAAAGTCTTGCTCCAAGGCGTTCATGGTCCCTTCGAGCGTCTCGAGCTCGGCAAACTTCTTGCCCACCAGGAACGCATTCGCCTTCTTGGCAGCCACTGTGAAGGGGGCCATCCCGCCGTAGACGAGGTTGCTGGCCTCCACAACACCGTTGTCGTCGAGTCGGACCTTGAGAGCGGACGTGACAATGGCAATGTCGTCATCCTTCCTCTTGGCCTGCTTGTAAGATCGGAAGAATTCGTTCTTTTCCTTGGTCACGGGGATACGGATCGAGGCCAGGATGGCATCGGCGGGAAGGGCTGTTTTCCGGTACCCGGTGAAGAACTCGGACATGGGGATTTCGGTCTCCTTTCCGAGCGTTTTTGCCACCAGGACGGCATCGGCGGCCATGAGGACTGGGTTTAAATCGGAGATGGGGGAAGCTGTGACCAAATTTCCGGCGGGCGTGCCGACGTTTCGGATTTGCCTGCCCGCAAAGTACTTGAGCTGCTTGTGGACGGCCTCAAAGATCTGGCCCCGGGCCGCTCCATAGTGCTTGATGGCCTCCTGGCAGACATTCTCGAGGTCGGTGAGGGTAATGTTGCCGCCGATCTCGAGGTGGTCGTCGTTGAGGGAATATTGCCTCAGGTCGGCAATGTCGCCGACAAAGACCGACACGGGGTACTGCAGGGCCTTGAACTTGATCTCGATCTGGGTCTCGGTGCTGCCTCCAATGATCTTGGCGTTGGGATAGACGCTCTTGATCTCGAGGAGCTGCTCGACTGTGGTTGGGCGGTACCATGTCTTGCGCTTGTTGCCAAAAGACAGGGGCTTAAAATCGTGCTTCTTGAGGGCGGGGGGGAAGATGAGCTCGGTGTCGGGGTTGTACTCGATGAAGCCTGGTGGAGTGAACCTCTTGATGGGCTGGTCGTCCTTTGCGACCTTTCCACACCCGCCACCCTCCCCGTTTTCCATGCAGCATCCGCCACCACCGTTGGCTTTGCTGTTCCCACAGGCGGCGGCTTTGTTACTAAAGGTCTGGGCGGCATCGAGGATGGGACGGTAGCCAGTACATCGGCACAGGTTGCCGTCAAATGCCTCTTCGACGTCGTGCTCTGTGGGGTTCTGGTTGTTGCGCAGGAGGGCATACAGACTCATGACGATGCCAGGAGTACAGAAGCCGCACTGGGAGCCGTGGCTCTTGGCCACACGCTCCTGGGTGGGATGGGGCTTCTTGACATTGCCAATGCCTTCAACGGTAATGACATGCTTGCCGTCGATGGAGGCCAAGGGGGCAAGACAGGCGTTTACACTGGCGTGGTAGATCTGTCTGGAGGTTGGGTTGTATTGGGATACGACGACGGTGCAGGCACCACAGCCCCCCTCTCCGCATCCGCTGGGACATGTCAGTTTCAAATTGTGGTAGCACACAGTATTGGCCGCTCACAGCTTGGTGCCAGTCAGGCCAATGCCACGCAGGTACTCGAGAAGAGTGATCTCGGGGTCGACATCGTCCAGCACGACACGGGTGCCGTTGAGGTAGAAGCGGAGGCAGTTGTCAAAGGTGGTCGTCAGGGTTCCCAGGGGGGCGGAGGCCGTCTCCGGGGTGATGGCGCTGGGGGCCATCTCGACCAGGTTGTCCCGGGTCGTGCTGCTATCACGACTCAGGGGGGTCTGCTCTGCAGACGCGAGGTCGATCGCTCCACGCCCCGACTACTGCAGGACGGTTGTTTGGTAGATATGGGTTGCAGTAGGACAGGGGGCAAGGGAGAGAAGAGCAAACGGTTCCAAAGGTCAACGGAGAGTGACGTTGCCCGGGATGGGCTCGGGGTTAAGTAGTGTGTGTGACCGTGAGGGAGGTGTCAAGTTGGGGGTGTTGGAGAGGCGGAGGGTGGCGAGTCCAGGTCAAGGTCGGTATCGTGGTAACAGTACTTCGCCGGGTCCCGACAGTTGGTGCCCGGGTCCCCGTACTCTTGGAGCCAACGACGAGTAGGAGGAGGGGGAATGGGGATTATTCGCTCCCCTCCCCATTTCTTTCGTAGTAGCGCCCATTTTAGGTACCTACGCTGGCTTGCAGAGGTCCAATCACAAAGACAGAGCCGGCGCTGAGCGTGCTTTCCCGGGTCGAGAGCTTATCAGCGGC